CAGGTCGAGGCTGTCGTGGCCGGGAGCGGCCACTGCACTCCAGTCTGGGCGACAGAGTGAGACTCTAACTCAAAAAAAAAAAAAAAAAAATTCTTATTTTTTTTTTGTAGATACAAAGTTTTGCTATGTTGCCCAGGCTTGTCTCAAACTCCTAACCTCAAACAATCCTCACACCGTGGCCTCCCAAAGTGCTGTGACTTACAGGCATGGCCACAGTGCCCAGCCCAGAACCAAACCTTCTAAACTTTCCCTTAAAATTCCCACATATTCTAGTATACTTTAACTGACAGCTGTCAGAAATGGAGACTAAGGGACAGTGGGTCTCAAAGTGTGATCCCTGGACAACATCACTGAGAAACTTGTTAGAGCCACAGTTTCTCGGGCCTCACCTGACCTGCTGAATCAGAATCTGAGGGTATGGTCCAGCGATGTGTGTGTTGACAAGCCCTCCAGGTGTGCTGATGCAAGCTCAAGTTTGAGAACCACTGACCTAAAAAGTACTCCAGTCCACAGCTCCTCCTAGACTCTCCACTTTGATGTCACAGGCTCTGTCCATCACTGGTATAGGTAGGCATGGTCACTCACCAGAGAAGCCAAACCAGAGGAAACAAGGTAGAGGATAGGTGAAGAATGGTTTGTGAGAGTTTTGTTATTTTTTTTTTTGAGTCAGTGTCACCCAGACTGAAGTATAGTGGCATACTCCTGGATACCATAGTCTCGACCTGCTGGGCTCAGGCAATCCTTCCACCTCAGCCTTCCAAGTAGCTGGAACTACAGGCGCACGCCACCACACTTGGCTAATTTTTTTTATTTATTATAGAGTCAAGGTCATGCCAAGTTGCCCAGGCTGGTCTCGAACCCTAGGCTCAGGCAATCCTCTTACCTCCACCTCCCAAAGTACTGAGATAACAGATGTGAGCCACTGTGCCCCATAAGCAAGAGCTTTAAGATGACACCAGGGCTGGGTGCATGGCTCACACCCGTAATCCCAGCACTTTGGGAGGGCAAGGCAGGAGGATTGCTTGAGCACAGGGGTTCCAGACCAGCCTGGTCAAAACAATGAGGCCTTGTGTCTACCAAAAAAATAAAAAAATTAGCTGGGCCTGGTGGCAGGCCTACTTGGGAGGCTGAGGCATGAGCCCAGGAGGTCCAGGCTGCTGTAGTAGTGAGCATGCCACTGTACTTTAGCCTGGGAGACAGTGAGATCCCTGACTCAAAAAAAAAAAAAAAAAAAAAGACTCCAAAGACACTGACCACAAAAAAGTCCTGACCTCAGCCAAGGAAGAAAAAATTGTGCCCAAGTTTGGGTACTGAGACCACGGTTTTCTAACCTCCCATAGAATTTCAGCCCCTGTCTGTCTTCCACCATAGATCCTGGGCCTCATCATTGTTCGAAAGCTTCTAGACCTCATCTTCTCCCAGCATGATCTGGCCTGGATCGACAACATCATCCCAGAGAAGGAAAAAAAGGAAACAGACAAGAAGAGGAAGAGGAAGAAAGGGACCCATGAGGACTGTGATGAGGAGGTGGGGAAGATGTGACGCCTGGGCAGAGAGGAGAGATCAAGAGACCATCCCTCCACTTTTGCCAGGGCCAGGGAGGGGGTGGCTTTCTGGACAGCCTGCAGCAATGCCAGGACCCAGTCTTGAGTGAGCCGAGGTTTCTGCATGTCTTGGTCTGGGATGCTAAGCCTGTCTGTTCATGTGAATATCCTCAGAGTGGGCCAAAGTGAATGAGCCTCCCTGTCCAGGGAAAAGTTGATTGGCCATGCTCATACCTTTCCATTGCTGTGGGCTTTCAGGGCCATTGTCAACGGCAGTGCAGGTTCCTGGGGGAAGGGGACAGGAGATGGCTCCAACATGGAAGCAAGTTACAAATACTAACCTCCAAAGAATGGAGCCAGCCTGGGGGAGGGCTCTGATGGGGACTCATAAGTAGACGGGACTCTCGGACAGGCAGGCTAGGGACAAGTTTTGCTTGGGCCTGCCTCTAGGGTACTAAGACCAAAAGTGGGGGAAGAGGCAGGTATCCATGCTGAGAGGAGCGTGCCTACTTTCCCCAGCTGCCTGGGACCACCTGATTGCCCCATCTACCCCTCTCTTCTCCCATGCCTCCTTCCCATCCCATCCCCCAAATACTCAGGAAGTCAACAGGCAAGGCGCCACTCCAGAAATTATAGTGAACCACACAAAATACTAGGCAGAAAGATTATGAATTCAGGTGTTCATTACAAATGGCGAAACTGTCCCTCAACAGGAAGTGACTTACCCAAGACAGAATAGAGCTAAATGTCTAAGAGGAAATTAGGAAAATCATTCCTGGCTTTGACTCAATTGCCAATATGCTAAGCTGCCCACGCTATCTCCTACTGCCATGCCTGGCCCCCAATCTCCCAATTTGACCTGCGTCCACCTTATCCTGTTCACCTAGTGATCTTGCCTTTTGCAGATGAAAGCTGTTGACAGGCAGACTTGCTGACTTGAGGTGGGGAGGGGGATAATTAAACCATCTTCTGATCAGCCCAAACTCCCTGGTCCTTAACTACTGTCCTCTTCAAGAAAGGACAGAGTCCCATAATGCATGTTTTTATAGTTGCTTTGTAAAAGTAAATTCTGAAAAGAAAGAAACAGAGGCTAAGTGCTTTTTAAAGACCGATCAAGCATGGTGGCTTATGCCTGTAATCCCATCACTTTGGGAGGCTGAGGCAAGAGGATTGTTTGAGCTCAGGAGTTCAAGACCAGTCTGGGCAATATAGTGAGACTTCCTCTCTCCAAAAAAACTTTTAAAAATTAGCTGAGCATGATGGCATGTACTTTAGCCCCAGCTACTCAGGGGCTAAGGCAGGATCACCTGAGCCCAGGTTGAGGCTACAGTGAGCCATGATCATATCACTGCACTCTAACCTGGGTGACAGAGTGAGACCCCCCCAACTCAAAAAAAAAGAGACAAATACGACTTTTTTCATTGATTAAGTCAATAGATGTTTGAGTGGCTACCACATGCCAGGAACCATGACAGGGTTGAGAAAAAGAATCTCTGGATTATATGAAATATTCAATGAAGACATAGGATTCAATATACACAAATTCATTTTGCATGTCTCTACAGCAACATGGCTGCTGTGCTTAGTTCATTCCCTGACTGGTTGCTGTGACAGATAAGTGATTTGATGAGTAACATTTCTGGAAGAATCCATCCTGTCCAATGGCACATGTAGGGCCAGGCTGATGTCCCCTCAGCGGGTCCCAGAGTGTTTGCAGCGCCCCCTAGCCTTGTAGTCTGGAGGTGAAGATGGTGGTTTGTGTGCTGTTGGACACGTTTTCCATCTTGGCAAAGAAGCCAAAGCTGCTTATTGATGTTCATCAGTTTTTCCCACTGTTTTTCTCCAGCCCCAGTTCCCTCCTCCCTCAGTTATAAAGATTCCCATGGAAAGTGTCCAATCAGATCCCCAAAACGGTATCCACTGCATCGCCAGTAAGTAAAACACGTCTCTCCCTTCCTACTTACTAATACTCCATCTCTTCTGAGGAACTTCCATCTGTAGCTCAGGGGATCTAATCATTTTGGATGTGAGAGAGCTCCTGTGCTAGGCAGAGATCAAGGAGATATGGGACTCCAATCAGAGGGACACTCCAGAGCAAGCCCTGCAGACGCCAGTGACCAATCCTCACTGTAGTCGAGGCAAAGCCCCTTGTCTCTCATTTCCCTGCCGTGGAACTGCCTGGCCCTCGTCTGCCTTGTTTCAGACCACGTCAATCCAAACCTGACCGGCTGAGCCTCTTGTGGCTCCAGTGGTTGCTGCAATGACGAGAGCTCAGATCAGAGCTGAGCTGTTTCCCGAAAGGCAGCCTCTGGGGGGGATCAGGCATTGCTTAGAAGAGCCTGTGAGATTCTACTGCTCCCTCCAATCCCTCCCACATCAGCTCCCTATGCCTGGATGTTCCTATTAAGACAACATAGCCCATTCTGGGAGTCTTCTAAAGGATCCCTACCTGAGTCCCGACAATGATGGTTCTAATATAGGGCTTGCCACTTTCCTCAAAGACACAGATTATGGGTGGGTACCCAGGGCACCCTTCCCATCACCACTGTCCATCACAGGTATCTCAAGACTTTTTGATTCCTCACTCTCCTCCCCCACTCCCATCTGTATGCAGCCATCACCCCTCCTCACCCTTCCCTGGCCCTTCCATGCCTCACATCCTCCTAACCCAGATAAGAGCCCCCTGAGTTAAGAAGGAGCTGAGCCAGAAGCCACCCATCTCTGTGAGGCCCCAGTGTTCCTCTTGAATAGCATTAGCCAGAGTTAGAGACCAGGAAAGAGAAGAAATGGCGGGGGAAGCCCTGGAAAGAGAGAATGTCCTTGAGCATAGTGCTCAAACAGCTTCACATCTGACACTTTTCTTTTCCTGCCAGGAAAAAGGTCTTCCAGTTGGAGTTACTCACTCTGATTCTTCCTTCAGTGACTCAGAACTTGATCGAAGGTAAACACCATGAGGTAGACTCCTTGGGTTGCAGATAAGGGACTAAGCAATGGTGGGGAGCTTGAAGGTCTAGGATTTCTCAGGCTAGCCATGGTTTCTGGGGCCAAGTGACACATGTGTCTTCTTACTGACATGACAACATGGTTATGAGACACAAAGGTGTTCAACTTTAGAAAAGGAAATTACTACAAAAGACGAGGTAGAACAAAAATCAAAAGTAAATGTGGAAAAAAAAAAACCCAGAAAAGCTAGACATGGCTTAAGTGTCTGTCACGGAAAGCCAGGACAAATGAACGTTAAGGACCAAAATGTGAGATACCCAAATACTCTATGGAATAAAATGACAGCAGAGTTAATTAGCAAAGGTCAGACAGGGTATCAAGGAACTCTAACTAAATATCAAAGTTTAAGTGGAGACATGAAAGTTAAGAAAGGATTCAAGGCTGGGCATGGTGGCTCATGCCTGTAATCCCAGTATTTTGGTAAGTGGAGGCAGGAGGCTCACTTGAGGCCAGAAGTTCAAGACAGCCTCGGCAACACAGCAAGACCTTGTCTCCATTTTTTAAAAAAGTTAATAAAATAAAAAATAAATCAAAAATTAAAAAAATAAAAGATATGACCCAACTGCCAGGAGCCCCTGTTCTGACTTTGTGGTTCATTGCTCTTTGTGAGTAGCCACCCATGAGGAAAGTGGGACCACCTGATGGGGACAAACAAGGCGAACTCACTGGGGAAGGTGGATGGGGGCAGTCCCACCCCTACCTTGTGCCCTGAAATGGACAGAAGTCATCCGTACCAGATCAGACATTAGTAAGATAAAAGCCTAGAGGCAGAACAGTCTCCACACCTAGATGGCAGTCACCCACAAGATTTTTTGGAGAAAAACATGAGATCTTCTGAATTATGAGGCAAAGCTACTGTCACAGTACTAGGGTGAGAAGACAGACTCATCACCAGCTCAACCCTGGTGGGCCCAGAGATGCTCTAACCAAAGTGTCACATGTCCCAATTATGTTTCTGCCTGCCTTCTCATCCTACCTCCCAGTCAGGACTCCTAGGCCTGTAATGCCTCCGATCTTTTGTACAGCATGCACAAGTGTTAGGAGAAAAGCTGTCTGTCCATCTTGATTTACTTTCATTTAAAACATAGTTATTGGGTGTGGTAACTGTAATCCCAGCACTTTGGGAGGCTGTGGTGGAAGGATTGCTTGAGCCCAAGAGTTTGAGATCAGCCTAGACAACGTAGCAAGACCTCATCTCTACAAAAAAAAAAAAAGAAAAACTTAGCCAGCTATGGTGGCATGTGCCTGTAGTCCCGGCAACTCAGGAGGTTGAGGTGGGAGGATCGCCTGAGCCCAGTAGGTCAAGGCTGCAGAGAGTCATGCTAATACCCCTGCATTCCAGCCTGGATGACAGAGTGAGACCTTGGTTCAATAAATAAATAAATTAGTTAATTAATTAATCTTAATTAAATAAAACATAGCCTACACTAAATTGAATCTCTGCCCCAATTTCAGGCAGTGAAGAGAAAATTTGGACCAAGTTTGGGGTTTCCAAAACCCTGCTAAATTGCACAAAGCCATAAGACAAGGTCATAAATGAAGAGAATTTGGGAACTGGAGATGACACCTCGCAACTACATTGTGTTTGACCAAATCTGTGAAAAATAGATGAAGGCACAGACCACTAAATGGCAGGATTCCATCTCAGGAAAAGGCTCAGCAACATGATCTGGTTTAACAAAGACTAGGCATCAGGGACCTGCCAGGTGTGATGCTTCATCCCTGGGGATGTGAAAGACAAGCCCATAAACAAAAACAGAGCACCATATGCAAGAACAACACATGGACATGTGGACAGTGGTCTAGGGAGGGACTAGCCTTCTCCAGAGAATCTAGGAAATGTTAACTGGCACCTGCAAGACGTAGAGCAGGACAGAGCAGAGAGAAGAAAAGGGCATCCCAGGAAGTGGGCACAGGCCTGAAGTACCATTGGAAACCACATACACAGGCCAGGTGGCCACAGTGGCTGATACCTGTAATCCCCGTACTTTGGGAGGCCAAGTGGGGAGGATTGCTTGAGCCCAGGAGTTTGAGACCAGCCTGGGCAACATAGCGAGACTGTGTCTCTATTTAAAAAAAGAAAACACACACACACAAGACCATGTCTCTATTTAAAAAAAGAAAACACACACACACCAAAGAACAAAGAATACTGGGATGGATGGGGCAGTCAACTAGACAAGTACGCAGGTGTGAAAACATAAAAGGCTCAGCCTTGCCATGCTAAGGAGCTTGGAGTCTGTCTGTTGTTCAAGGATAGACTTGTGACTTAGAAAGTTCACCTTAGCAGCAATGTAAGATAGGGAGAAACCAGTTACATGACTATGGCTGATGGCCAAGCAGACAGGAAACCACTTGTTCCAGTATGCGCTGAGAGTTCAGAAGCAAAGACAACTATTGTCGTAATTTGCCCTGCTCTGGGGTATGGTGTTCAGAGCACGAAGAACTAGATAAACCCCTCTTCTTTCCTCTTCTCATTCAGCATCACCTTGCACTTCAAAATCTCCTGTCCAGCTTCACCTGCTTTCAACTACCCACGAAGTCCAGTGTTCATGGTGCCACAGGTGAAAATAGAGATGGAGTCAGACTATGACTTCACAGATATGGACAAATATCGAAGAGACACTGACAGCGAGACCACCCTCTAGCACGCAGCAGCTTCTCCCAGAATGGAGATAGAGGGAGGGCCTGGTTTAGTCTTAACTTCTCTGTGCCTGTTTCCTTCTTTATCAGAGGGAGGTCTTTTGCCTGATAGGAACAGGAGATCTGTTGATGAAAAGTACTACTTACATGCAAAGCTCTTCCCTTCTCTTTGTAGTTATTAAAACGCCTAAAGCTAAATGTTATACCTTATTTTAAAATGCAGTTCAGCATAGAAATTATAACATTTCTTTTGAAATGAAAAAAAGTTTGTTTCCCAAAACCATAGCTAAGGGGGCAGTAGAGTCCATTTATATTTAAAACAAATATCAATTTAAAAATTTTTAAAGGTTAGATTTAAATCTAGATGGTCTTGAACAAACCCTTAAAATATGTCAATAAACCAAGGTTGCAATATTTGTTTTGCAACTTTGCATACTGAGAAATGCTGCAACGGTCCTATCTTTTCTGTCTGTCGCATTCAGTTTTCTACAGGTTGTGTGAAAAGTTTGATTAGCATTATGGCCTCGCTCCAGACGTTGACTAAGACACTCCTAGTTCTCAAAGTCTGTTAGTGAAAGAGCCATTGCATTTGAGTGGATACATGTTTTTAAAATAATATAGTTCTTGTTAAAGTGAAATTTCCAACCATATGTTAGATCAACAAAATTGTTCTTTGAATTAGTATCAGTGGTTTTCACACTTGGAATCAAATTTCTTTATGCATTCAGGTACATTCTTCCGGCACATTTTCAATGCTGATTCCCAAAATCAAACTCCCATTCTCATGAACATTATGTTAGGCAAAGCTACAGCCGCATTTTAGAAGGCTATAACTTTGCACTGTTAATCAAACTAGTTCCTTAAAGGAATGATTGGAAGCAATTTGGATAAATTAAAACCAGTTATTAATGAACCAACCCTTTCCCCATAAACTTAAGACCAGTCATTTTGTCTTCTATCCTCATTTAACAAGACCAAATATAGGAATTATCTACATTGATTACAGTCAATGAGAAAAAACTCGGGTTAGATCACGTTTATAAGTAGTAGAAAGACAGCACCAACTATATTTATTTAATACCTACTATGTACCTGACAGCCAAAATGCATCTGACATTTACTTTCTCCAAAACTATCGATTTGAGTCTTGAGTAAATCACTCTAGCTAGGGTTACTACATTTACTCAAGATGACAAATGCAGGTGCTTTCTTTCTTTTTTTTTTTTTTTAAATTACACTAGATCATTAAGACATTGAGTACCAGGACAGGTATTTGCTTCTGCAATTCCCAGAGCCTAGTGTAGTACCTGGTCTATAGAAAGCTCTTAATACGTGTTTATTAAATTTAATCTCAGAGCTCCCTTCCAAGGGATACTGCCAAGAGGAAAAGCTCTAAGCCTCTACCACTACTACTGAGAACAGAATTTCTTAGCTGTTCACTAATCCAGAGTTATCTCCTGAACTTAAGTATAAATTCATGCTGGTCACAGTGGCTCACATCTGTAATCCCAGATATTCGGGAGGCTGAGGTAAAAAGATTGCTTGAGCCCAGGCATTCAAGGTTACAGTGAGCTATGACCATGTCACTGTACTCTAGCCTAGGCAACAAGAGCAAGACCTTGTCTCTAGAGAAAAATTAATTTTAAAAATTCTTTATCTTCTGCACCAATCCTAAGACAGCTAACAACCCATCCTTAACATTTCAGTGTTAAAACCTGGCTGATCTGGAATAGCACCATGTCCAAATTAAATTGTAGAGGGTTATAGATTCAGGAGTAAACCTGCTTGATTAATCAAACAAGCTGGAAAACTACACTGTTAATTTTTTTGTTGTTGTAAATTGATCACTGTAATTTTTACCTTACATGTCATTTATATTTTGTATATACATGAACATTTTAATTTCTATAGCTTTTAACAGGTTGACATATTACTACTCCAGTCAGTAATTGTTTCCACTTGTAACTATAATTCAATAAAACTTAATCCTGTCTGGCTCCTCTTGCTCCATGTTTAATAATTTAGGTAAGTAAGTAAGCAAGCAAGCAGGCACGGCTTATAGACATGAGCTATACCTCACTTACAAAAACATCGCCAGCAAACTGTCATTGTTCATCTCCAGAAAACTACCAAAAGAATAAAGCCAGCTGTCAGAGACACCAAGAGGGAATGAGGTCTCAACTCTCCAATTGTTCTTTCTTTCTGTCTCAAGCTGCCAAGAACAGGAACTACTCTTGCCTGCATGAAAGCCAAAATACACAAGGGACCTATCCCCCGCCCCCAAAATATGCATAGCTAACACCTTCTAATCTGTCAGATCAAACTGATGCTTTAAACACACACACACGAAGAAAAAAATACTAACCCCTTAGATGAATTTGCAGATGAAGCTCCTGGCTTGGCACAACCTGTTGGGATACAAGACTAAAGGGACTAGGTTGATTTCTCCATAGCTCTTTAAACCTATTTGTTTAAGGATAGAGAATTTAGCCGGGTTCAGTGGCTCAGCCTGTAATCCCACGCTTTGGGAGGCTGAGGTTAGTGGATTGCCTGAGCCCGCGGATTCGAGACCCGCCTGGGCAACTTGGTGAGACCTCATCTCTACAATAAATCAGAAAAATTAGCCGGGCGTGGTAGCGCGCACCTGTAGTTCCAGCCACTTGGAAGGCTGAGGCGGAAGGATCGCCGGAGCCCAGCAGGTCAAGGCTGTGGTGGTCGGGAGCAGCCACTGCACTCCAGTCTGGGTGACAAAGTGAGAGTCCAACTCAAAAAACAAAAAAAAGAGGATAGAGAATTGACTATTACCAAATAGAGGAATTATCTACATTGATTACAGCCAAGAGAAAAAACTCTGGTTAGGTCACAACTAAAAGCAGTAGAAAGACAGTATTTCAGAAATTTGTTTCACACCAAATAGATGTGTTTTATTAAAAAAGGAAAAAAACCTTTAATCAGAAAGTCTGATTAAATTCAGTATTAACTCAAGCTCTTAAAAATCTTTCTGGAAAGTCAACAGGGTACAGCACAGAAAAACAGGCAGCTGCTGACAATTCTTTGGTGGAAAGCAAGTTGCATACTTACACAAGCTGCCCAAATGATTATCAAGCCAAGGTTGCTTTTCAAAAATAGGTTTCAAGATATACCAAAGAAACTATATAGATATCCCCTAACAATACAAAAATTTAACAATGAAGTTTAAGTATATAGCAAAAGCCAAATATGACAATACACATAAATAATTTATAAAATAAGACTTCAATTCTAGAAAACTAAAATGGGGAGACCTCACTGAAGGGTAACTGAGAGCAAATGGAACTTCAACTTTTTCCCAGTGACTGACTAAGCCACAGAAAGAGTTTAGGAAAACTATTAATATGTAGCTTTCCTCTGTTCTTAGCCAATTCAGTTCTACTTAGATAAATCTGGTCCTCAATCAATACATATATAAATTAGAGTGATTTTTTTCAATCACCATCTTTTTCCTTTCCGGCTTTTCCCTAATTTTCTCTAGCAACATTTTTCCTTTGGTTTGACCAGTTGAACTCGAAAGGTTTAGAGCCTAAAATGAGTGTCAACTCTTATTGGAATAGCACTTGGGAAATGCAGTCCTAGAAAAGGCAAACTTTTAAGAGGTGGCTTGACAAAGTTAAGCATCCGTTCTCGATGTGACAGTGTCTCCCATGTTGATCACTAGGCTAATGACTGCTTTTGGCTAGATCACATGACCCTGCATGATACTGGAATGCTCCTTGGTGAGGTACTGCAGAGCTATGTGCACAAACACCCATTCGCTTGAGCTTCCAATAAATACAAAGCATCATTTTAAACCACTTCAGTAGAATAAATAAAAAATATTGCATTTCAGTTGGCCTGCTTTGCTTCTTCAGCTGCCTTGGAATGCTGTCTATGGCACTGAAGACACCACAGTTAATTAGTGGCTACTCCAAACTCTTTAGATTTCAGCACTTCCCGCTCTTTCAGTCTCAACTCTTTTTTTGCAGCAATTATGGTATTCTTCATTAGCATTGCCACTGTCATGGGACCAACACCCCCAGGAACTGGAGTGATGTAGCCGGCTTTTTTCCTGACTCCTACACAGAAACAAGACAGGCAGCTGCTTCAGTTATGGCAAAGGACGTTTGTATCTTTAACATATTATGAGAGAAACATGCAAAGAAAAAGTAGTGTATACAAACACCTTCATAAACCTCAAGCTCACTTAAAAATCACATCTATGTTACCTAAGAGTAAAGGTTTTTGAACACACAATGAAATAACATGCATAATGAAGTAACATAATGAATATTTATACATCTAAATAACCTGTAATTTACCACCCATACTCTCTCTTTCTCCCCAAATTACATAAAACTAAAAAGAAACATCTCAGTAGGTTAACTGTGTAGGAGTTATAATGATAAGCATTACCTCAATATCTGTCTATAATATTTTCTTAATTTGAAGCTAGGAATAGGATTATCAGCATAAAATTCAGATAAACATGTCATCTTAAGAACTGAAAGGAAGGTTGGGTGCAGTGGCTCATGCCTACAATCCCAGCACTTTGGGAGGCAGAGGTGAGAAAATTGCCTTAGCCTACAGGTTCGAGACCAGCCCAGGCAACATGGCAAGACTCATCAAAAAAATTAGCTGGGCATGGTGGCACACATCTGTAGTTCCAGTTATCAAATACTTGGAAGGCTGAAGAGGAAGAAACACCTGAGCCTAGCAGATCAAGGCTGTGGTGGTCATGAGCAGGCCCCTGCACTCCAGCCTGGGTGACAGAGTGAGACTCCGACTTTAAGAAAAAAAGAGAACTGAAAGGAGATATTTACTAACATATTCCAGTATTTTCAGAATATGGCTCTTTCCTGGACCATTTTAACTTTCTAGGCCTATGATCTCTCCACTCAATATGAAAGTGAAAAATCTGTAACACTTTTTAAAAGCAACTCCATGGCTTAGGAAAATCACTTCATTAAATTTCCAGACTTGTTAAAAGTCATGAAGTTGGCCACTGCCTTGTTAAACTATGGTGTGGCCATGTTTCCTAGCTTTGGCCCCCTCCCCTACCTTGGGGAAGCGAATCACCTATTTCTCTTTCTCCCTGATTTACTTTCTAAACAAACTATACTCTCTGATCTAAAAAAAAAAGTCATGAAGTTGTTTTAATTATGAAATTAGTCTAAGGGGCTAGAGCTTATGCCTGTAATTCTAGCACTCTGGGAGGCAAGAGGACTGCTTGAGCCCAGGAGTTCAAGACCAGCCTGGGCAACCCAGCAAGACCATGTCTCTACTCCCCCCACCCCCCCCAAAAAAAAGAATTCTAAGGAAAAAACAACTCCCTGAAAAGTTTACCTGCTCTGCACAATTTTATGATACAAACACCCAAAATAATTCTAGCCATTCTAGAATAGCTTTAATTTTTAAAAAGATTTTTCTAATTCTTATGAGAAGCATATTAAACAGTATTGCCAGGGTTACAAGTTAATTATAAAAGTAAATGATCTATCTTCAATGTCCATTACTGGTAGTACTTTAAAATTTTTATTCTATTTTATTTATGTATTTATTTATTTACTGAGGCAGGGTCCCACTCTGTCACCCAGGCTGAAATACAGTGGCATGATCATAGCTCACTACAGCTTCAAATTCCTGGGTTCAAGTGATCCTCCTGCTTCAGCTTCCCACTGAGATTACAAGCACACACCACCATGCCTGGCTAATTATTTATTTTTTAATTTTTTATAGTGAAAAGGTGTTGCTATGTTGACCAGGCTGGTCTCAAACTCCTGGTCTCAAGAGATCCTCCTACCTCAGCCTCCCAAAGTGCTGACATTTCAGACATGAGCCACCATGCCTGGTCTGATTTTATATTTTCTTATAAAATTATACCATTTACCTTCAAAATCCACATCTCCAACCAACTTGGGTTTAGCAGTCATGGGATCTTGAACTCGATTTATTCCCACATCAATGATTGCTGCTCCTTCCTTGATCATATCTGCTGTGATCAGATTTGGAATGCCTGGAATGGAGATAGGAATGATCAACTTAGTACAGAAAAGAGTCTACCTGTCAGATTCTTATCTATATATTTCATGTAGTAAACAGAAATATTCTGAGTCTTTAGGAATAACATTCACCCACCCAGTCTATGAGGAAATGCCAGAAATCAGTATTCCAAACACAACTCTATCCTCATCTTTGTGGGCAGCTCAAAGTATCATTCCAGGGGAATGATGAATGGAATGGCAGGAAGATGGGCTAATTCGAAGGTAAGAGGTGCAACCTCTTATCTTCCTTCCTTCTGTCCCTTATCTTGTGTTCCTTCTCTCCCTTAAGTTCTTACCTGCAGCAGATATCACAATATCTGCAAGAATTGTATGTTTCTTCAGTTGCTCTTTGGGAGTGTATCGATGAGATATCGTAACAGTGGCATCACCTATGTGGAAAAAAATAAACATCTTGAATTCTAACTCAGAGCTGGGACACAATTAGGTCTCAACTTGTCATTATAGAAACTCAACATCTCTGAAAAATAATTGACAACACTTGTGCCATATTTTCTGGACAGCTGGTTGTCATTTATTTTGTAAAATTAATACCTCATTTCTTGTACTTTTTACCCATTGGTCCCAGCACTACTGTTTGGGGGTCATATATAATTAAGTTTATTCTTTATCCTATTTAAAAGTCTTCAAAATGTTTACATTTTCTAAATAAAACCACTAAAATTACATACATTATGTTAAAAGATATCTGAAAATATAGTTTTCCCATTATTTCTGATATAATCATGTAAGGTCAATATTATAATAACCACATGACTAACTGATATGACACATTACAGTCATATTAGTTCAATCCTTTGCAATGGTCTAAGATTTTTTCCACCAAATGACACAGAACAGAATGCTAACTTTGAAGAACTGCTCCTTAGCTCGAACTATCAAAGTCATATGTGAATATTTCTAATTACCTACAACCATGCTTATATTCAAAACTTAAATTTGTTTCTGAATCTAGTTCCATGATAAATGAATAAAGAAACTGGTGACACTGAGTATAGCTTCTCTGCAAAAGTTACTCTCTGAATGAGCTGGTAACAAAATTACAACAAATATATAAAGGACAACAAAATTAATACCTCCAAACATCCTCAGGATGGCTTCTGAAGGCTCTCACATAAGAGAGAAGATGCTGCTCTGAAAGCAATTTCCTTACCTCCAGGACGTTCGTGCGCACCATCTGTGTGCAATAACATTGCAATGGGCATTCCAACGTTTTTTGACCTTCCAGCCACAACTACATTCTTCCCTAGGGTTGGAATGCCTATTTTAAAAAAACATTATATATATTTATTTATATATACACATATACACACATACACACATGCACACACACACATACAAACACACACACTGAAAGTAGTGGCAAGGCCAGGTGTCATGGCTCACATCTGCAACCCTGGCACTTTGGGAGGCCGAGGTGGGAGGATCACTTAAGCCCAGGAGTCTGAGACAAGCCTGGGCAACATAGTGAGACCTCATCTTTACAAAAAGACATCAAAAACTTAGCCGGGCATAGTGGCATGTCCCACCTACTAGGGAGGCTGAAGCAGATAAGATCTGTGCCAAGGAGGTTTGGGTTGCAGTAAGCCATGGTGCCACTGTGTTCCAGCCTGGGTGACAGAGTGAGACTTTGACTCAAAAGTAAAAAATAAAAGTAGCGCTGTCTGTCTTAGAATGAGCACCAAAGGAAAAGGAAGTCAGATGGCCTAGGACATTAATCTAATCTTGATAGTGAACACAGTCATTGCCTTATCAGTCAACTGGAGCTATCACTTGCTATTCATAGGGAAGACTAAAAGCAGAAAGCATCCTATAAGCCAGGGTCCTCAACCCTGGGCCACAGACTAGTCTGTGACCTATTAGGAGCCTATGCGAACAAAGCTCTGCCTGCTGTCAGATCAGCTGCAGCATTAGACTCTCAGGAGCGAGAATCCTATTGTAACTGCATGTGAGGGATCTAGGTTGTGTGCTCCTTTTGAGACTCTAATGTCTGATGATACCCGTCCCCTACCCTGTCCATGGAAAAACTGTCTTCCACAAAACTGATCCCCAATGCCAAAAAGGTTGGGGACTACTGCTGTAAGCTACAAGATTCATTCAGGCATTAGTAGTGGTATTACACTACTAAATCTTAAGTTTTCTTCACTGAGGCTTTTGGATTAAAGAGCAAAAACCATCACAGGCAACTGTGAAGAAAGGTGAATTCTGGGGAGTAGGACTAGAGGATATGGTGTGGGGTTCCCACTCTTGGGTACTACCTGAATTTTTACCATTTGCAAGCACTACTTTTATAACGCTAACACAGACATACAATTCTGGGATTTACCTACCAGTTCGCTTAATTATTTCCCACACACCCCATGGGGTAGCCGGTAACATGGAATACTGGTCCAAACACATACGTCCTACATTAATTACATGAAAGCCGTCAACGTCCTTGTCTGGAGAAACAGCATTGCAGACCTTTCTCTCATCAATGTGCTCTGAAAAAGAAAACAGCATGGTTGCCTTAAGTCACTGTCACATAGTTAGCACTGCCTGACTCCCGCTCTTCTGGCTGGTCAAGCAAATCCACTCCTCTGTGGTTTGCCTCAATGATTTGCTTGCTCATCTGCAGAGAAGGAACACACAATGAGCAAAACCAAATGACAATATCAAAGCCAATATCTTCTTTTACAACTGCTTCCCTCCACTGCTTTTTATCAAGACCTCAATGCCAAATCAAGGAGTAACTGGTATTCTGAGTAGGTCTGCCCCATTTTTAATAAAATATTCATCCCTTTGAGTTTATTTTGCCTTCCAGTCAAGTACACATGAAGGGCCAGGTGTAAAAAGTAACAAGGCCTCGCCACTCCTCAGAAATCATTTGAAATGGTAGAACCCAAAACTCACCTGGAAGAGGCAGCTGAACAAGGAGCCCATCTACGTTATCATCATTATTCAGTTTATGGATTAAATTCAACAATTCTTCCTCTGAAATTGAAGCTGGTTTCACAATTGTCTCACTGTTGATTCCTATTATAAGAAAACTTTGAGGTTAAAAAAAAAATCTTGAGCTCTTTATTGAGCACTGTTATGTTGCCTGCCTGCTCAACTTTGCAGGTTTGTTTTTGTTTCTGTTTTTTAATAGAAAACTAAACCAGGTTTGAGGAGTGACTTTTCCATTAACTAATTTTAGCTGTGGAATAAATTACAATATTTAAAGATCAAGGAATGTTCAACTCTTCATTTCGAAATTGGATTATTTGTTTACTTGTTCGTTGTCTCTTTCACTAGCATGGCAGTTGTGTGAGGGCCCACACTTAAGTACCTAGAAAGGTGAAGTACCAGCGACTATTATCGCACCCTAAAATTGCTGCAACAACCTCCTAACCCATCCCACTGCTTCTTCACTCGGCCTTTGCACTCATTTGCCAGGGCTGCCATAACCATGTACCATAAACCATAACGATGTACCATAAACCAGATAGCCTAAATCCTCAGAAGTTTATTGTCTCACAGTTCTGGAGGCCAGAAGTCTAAAATCAAAGTGCTTCGAAGCCATGCTCTTTGTGAAGCTCTGGGGGAGAATCCTTCCTCACTTCCTCCAGCTTCTGGTGGTTTGCTGGCAGTCCTTGGTGTTGCCTGACTTGCAGCTGCAACACTTTACTCTCTGCCTTGGCCATTGTGTGGTATTTCCCCTCCCACGTGGGCTTTTTATCATTACACCCACCCAGTATCTGAAGGGTCAAGTCAGCTCCTAAGGAACCTACAAAAGTAACTTCACAGGCACACACGCTAGAGAGAACTTGCTCAATAAATACTTCCTGTGCTCACGATTCTACGGAATCCTCATCAACCTCCTTTTACATCAAGGTGACTAAGGCTTAGGTATTTAAAAAAACAAGTCAGCTAGTAACACAATCTCCCTGGTTCCAAAATCCATGTTCTTTCTGGTTCCAAAATCCACGTTCTTTCCACTGCACCCTGCTACCTCCCAGTGTCTTAAAGTGGCACAGTTGCTTATTTTCTAGCAATTTCTAAAGGTTTTCAGTGAAAAGGCAGGAGGTCTCAAACCTCTGTGATAAAGAATCAAGCACACCAAGGCTCATGGGGCACTAACCCTGCCCAGCCATACCAGTGGACTCACAGCTCCTCAACAGGGAAGGGAACCTGGTGCTCAGATGACTGGCAGGTCAAGGCATATCTAAGCCCCCCACATCTTGTCTACAGCTACACAGTAATCTGTGGTACCACAAGATCTAGGACACAAACCCCCTATCATCACCCAGGCCCAAAATACTTCTAAACTGCACAATAGGCTTTAGAACCAATCGGTGAAGAACTCAAAAGCTGTTTCCAACTCAGTCACTTCCTTCAAATCTATGTGTTCTCAACCACATCACTGAGGTCTCCCGATATCCTATTGCTTTAAACTGCTGACAGCCAAACACCTCAGCGAGAGGCTCATTATTGCTCAAAGAAAGCAAATGAAACGGTGTTCAAGGTCACCTGTCAAATGAAAGACAAGTAACAGAATTTAGCTTCAATTCCAGAAGACCCCTAGAATGCTGGCCATATTTCTCCTGCCCTAGTCTGTAAACCTTCCCAGTAGACACAGCCTGACTTCCTTAGGACAAAGTTCTGGATACAGTCCAATCGCATTCACCTCCTCTGCTTGGGTTTTCTAATCAGGCAGAGAAATCATGGTTACGGTGGAGTTTGCCTCATTTAAGCCTCAGTCACAGCAGGTGTGACTGAAGGACACATGAGGCCTGAGAGGGACACATACCCACATCTGCAGCTGCCCTGGTTTTGTTGAGGACATAGGAGTGACTCGCTGGATTCTCGCCCACCAGGACCACGCTCAGGTGTGGCCGTTTGTTGCCGGAGGCCACCCACTGTTCCACTTCCTGCCGCACTTCCTGCTTGATCTGCTGGGCCAGTTTCCTTCCAGAAATGATGACAGCTTCATTTCTGCAGAAGGCAACAGAGTCACAAAACCAAATGGCTTGAATTTTTGTAAAAAGTAAAGCTCTGGCTACAAAACAATGGTTATTAAATACCAAAATACGTAAAACTGAAGTTAAAATACACGGTGCCTGGCTGGGCTCGGTGGCTCAGCCTTTAATACCAGCACTTTGGGAGCCCAAGGCGAGTGGATTGCCTGAGTCCACAGGTTCGAGAACCACCAGAGCAACTTGGCGAGTCCTCGTTTCTACAATAAATCAAAAATTAGCCAGAAGTGGTAGTGCTTACCTGTAGTTCCAGCACTTGGAAGGCTGAGGCAGAAGGATCACCGGAGCCCAGCAGGTCAAGGCTGCGGTGGCCGTGAGTGTGCCACTGCACTCCAGCCTGAGCAACAGAGTGAGACTCCAACTCAAAATAAAAGGACGCATAGTGCCTAGTCTGAAGGACAACTGAACCAGAGGGACAGAGTCAAAGTGGCAAATGTGTGTTCAGCTACATGTGCCAGGGGATAAAGTTGATACAAACAGTTACTGTCATTAATCTGAAGCTCAGAGAGTTTAAGTGACTGACAGCCAGTACTTGGCTAAGCAGGTTCTCATACCAAAGTTCAGGCTCTTAACTGCCACACCACCCACCTCCTGATCATCAATAAATTGATAGGAAAAACAAACAAACAAAGTTTTCACAGTTTTAATCTGCATTTCTTTAGGCCCTTACCACTACCAGGTGAACCAGCTTCACTACCAGGTGAACCAACTTCTCCTTTATGCTTACTTGTATGCCATTTGTAGTTGGTGTTTTGCCGATGTTAGCATCCAGTCAAGTGTTTCAAAACATTCGCCAGTGAGTTGATTGGCTTTTAATTAGTTGATTGGCTTTTAATTTTTATGACGCTTTTTTTTTTTTTCAGTTGGGGTCTCACTCAGTTACCCAAGCTGAAATGCAGTGGCAGGATCACAGTTCACTTCAGCCTTGATCTCCTGGGCGCAAGTGATCCTCCCACCTCTAGTGCTTTTAAATGCTGGGGGTGTCCGTCGGTGGCTCAGCCTATAATCCCACTATCCCACTTTGGGAGGCCAAGGCGAGTGGATTGTCTGAGCCCGCGGGTTCGAGACCAGCCTGGACAACTTGGCGAGACCTCGTTTCTACATTAAATAAAAAATAATCCACTGGGCGTGATAGCACACGCCTGTAGTTCTGGCTACTTGGAAGGCTGAGGTGGAAGGCTTGCCAGAGCCCAGTAGGTCAATGCTGAGATGTCCATGAGTGTGCCACAGAACTCCAGCCTGGGCAACAGAGTAAGACTCCAACTCAATCAATCAACCAATCAATTAAATAAATAAATACCAGGAGTGCCAAAAAAAAGTATACACATTTTAAGAGATGTTGTCTATGTACTACTTTTTGAAGTACTTTTCAGAAGTGTCTGGACATTGATGGTAACCACTTTGAGCACCTCTCGTAATTGCAGAAGTCAAATGTGACTTGTATTCATCTTTTGTTATCAGTACATCTTTTTCCTTTCTTAAAGTATGTATACATTTTTTGGCACCCTCTGTATATAAATTATGTTTGTTTGTTTTTTTTGGAGTCTCACTCTGTCGCCCAGGCTGAAGTGCAATGGCATGTTCACGGCCACCACAATTTCGACCTGCTGGGCTCTGGCAATCCTCCCGCCTCAGCCTTCCAAGTAGCTGGAACTACAGGTATGTGCCACCACACCCAGCTAATGTTTTTATTTATTGTAGAGACAAGGTCTCGCCAAGTTGCCCAGGCTGGTCTCGAACCCCTGGGCTCAGGCAATCCTCTCGCCTCTGCCTCCGCCTCCCAAAGTGCTGGGATTACAGGCATGAGCCACCATGCCTGGCTAAATTATGTTCTACAGTTAAATCAATAAGCAGTATACTGGACATGTCAAACTTCAAAATGCCTACCACTCCCCCAGCCCCTTCTAGGGAAGACTTCCCTGGAGAAAGGGAGTAGGGGCAGGGCAGAGAACTGGAGGAGGCTCCTTCTCATAAGTGTCAGTGTGCTTGTCCTGGGGAGCTGACACACCAGGAGTAAGTATCTGGCACCAACGGCAACAATTTCTAGACTGCCCAGTGGTCCGGTTGGCACAAAGGCTTAGCCCAACAGGAACAATGAGAGTTCCCTGAACCAGTAAGAGCTTCTCTCTGAGGGAGTTCAAACCAGAACCACAAGAGGCCCGTTGATGGGAACAGAAGTTACCGCAAGAAATCAGAAAACTGCTGTGGACAGAGAGGAATGGGAAGACTCAGGATCTAGAACAACTTCCAGTTACCACGTTCAGATCTCTGAAAAGAAGCCAGGCACAGTGGTTCACATCTATAATCCCAGCACTTTGGGAGGCCAAGGTGAGAGGATTGCCTGAGTCCAAGGGTTTGAGGCCAGCCCAGGCAACTTGGCGAGACTCCATCTCTATAATAAATCAAAAAATTAGCCATAGTTCCAGCTACTTGGAAGGCTGAGGCAGAAGGATCACCTGAGACCAGCAGGTCGAGGCTGCGGTGACTGTGAGCATGCCACTGCACTCAAGCCTAGGTGACAAAGTGAGACTCCAACTCAAAAATAATAATAATAACAGATTTTTTTTTTAATTTTAAAAAGACCAATGAAACATCAATTTCCTCTTATAAAACATAGTCTCAGGGATATCATCAAGGTACTGGATATCTTGTATGGACAGACAGGATTAATTATCAAGGCCACTGCTGATTAAAATGGAATTTTAAAGCTTTAACAATTTGAAGGCTTCAATGCCTGCTTTTTACTTGCATTATGATTAAATACCTACTTTAAACCAAATCTCAACATCTTGAATATAATGCAATATTTGTAAACTATATTAATCTGTTTTACATCTTGTGAAATAATGAGAGCTCATAATTTTATAGCAAATCAAATACTTTTGGCCGAGCTCGGTGGCTCAGTCTGTAATCCCAGCACTTTGGGAGGCTGAGGCGAGTGGATTGCCTGAGCCCGTGGGCTCAAGATCAGCCCAGGTAACTTAGCGAGACCTTGCCTCTACAAGAAATCAAAAAAATTAGCCAGGCATGGTTGCATGTGCCTATAGTTCCGGCTACTTGGAAGGCTGAGGCAGAAGGATCACCGGAGCCCAGCTGGTCAAGGCTGTGGTGGCCAGAGCGTGCCAGTGCATTCCACTCTGGGCGACAGAGTGAGACTCCAACTCAAAAAAAAAAAAATACTTTTACCCTGATGTTATGTAATGATATTAGCATGGCACAACATATATAATAGCATTTAATTTATACACATATATTAAGGAATTGGAAACATACTAATATTTACAAATCCATTGCAGAATTAGAGTTGAAGAGGTCTTCATTAAAAGGATACAAACAGACCGGGTGGGGTGGCTCATGCCTGTAATCCCAAAAATTTGGGAGGCCAAGGCGAGAGGACAGCCTGAGACCAGGGGTTCGAGACCAACCTGGGCAACTTGGTGAGCCCTCTTCTCTACGATAAATAAAAAAATTAGCCAGGCATGGTGGCGCGCACCTGTAGTTCCAACTACTTGGAAGGCTGAGGTGGAAGGATCGCATGAGCCCAGAAGATTGAGGCTGTAGTGGCCGTGAGCATGCCACTACACTCCAACCTGGGTGATAGAGTGAGATTCTGACCCCTGCAAAAAAAAGAATGCCGGGCTTGGTGGTTCAGCCTGTAATCCTGCGCCTTTGGGAGGCTGAGGTGAGCGGATTGCCTGAGCCTGCGGGTTTGAGACCTGCCTGGGCAACTTGGTGAGATGTCATCTCTACAATAAATCAAAAAATTAGCCGGGCGTGGTAGCACACACCTGTAGTTCCAGCTACTTGGAAGGCTGAGGCGGAAGGATCGCCTGAGCCCAGCAGGTCAAGGCTAGGGTGGCCGGGAGCGGTCACTGCCCTCCAATCTGGGCGACAGAGTGAGACTCCAACTCAGAAAAAAAAAAAGAATAGATATATGTGTATATATACACATATACTCATAAAAATATATATATAAATATGCATACTATATACTATATAAACTATGAGAAAGACTTAGCTTGCACTTCATAGTTTCTTTTGAAAGCAATGAGGAAGCACATTCAGATAAAATTGATATACTAAAGCTAGTGGAACACAGGGTTTTGGAAGAAGCCAGTGTTCCAAGTTCCAATCTTTGCTTCCAAAGCAGGTTTTGGATGTTATGCCAATTTGCTTAAAAAAAAAACAAAAAACTGTCAAGAGTAACCAAAAACAAAGCTACAATGCAATAAATGCCTTTCATCCTATAACTGTGTTTTAGAACCCTTCTGCTTTCCACAACTCTGCAAAATGTTCAACACAGCCTTGGGAATGAGTCACTAACTAACTTCCCATCATCTCTTCTGCCATGGGGCAGATAAAGTAGTTGCCCAAATAAACAGAGAAATGGAGACTCAGCTCAGTCCCAAAGGGAATCCAAAAAGTTAAACTATATTAGCTAACAATTTATCTAGCAACTAAATGCTTTCACAGTGGGGTTTAGAAAACTACCATTAAAATAACTCATCAAGAGGATAGAAAGAAGTCCAGAGAACGGTTCAAATTAAAATAAACAGTTCAAATTTCAAAATAAAATTTGAAACTAAAAGTTAGTAGCATCTTCACTTTCCTCTTAACTCAATAGCTTACAGTACTATAATCTTCCATAAAAATTAACACTAGGGCATTTTACAATTTGTAATTAAGCTATTTGGGGTAGAGTTCTGTTATCTGCTAGTTAATGGGATCAGTAGTAAGTAAAGTCACAAGAGGGAATGCAACTAACATCTATTAAACATTAGGTATTTTGCTGAGATTTTTACATATATTACTCTCACTTGGGGCTACTATAACAATCTGAGGAAATGAGAAGAGTAGAAACAAGATTCAAATGCAAACTTCTGCCTCCAAAGTTGAGCCCGGCACAACTCATATTTTTTAAAAGATATAACCGTTTCACCCAGGCACGGTGACTCACACCTATAATCTCAGCACTTTGGGAGGCTGAGGTGAGTGGATTGCCTGAGCCCACAGGTTCAAGACCCACCTGGGCAACTTGACGAGACCTCATCTCTACAATAATTAAAGAAAAATTAGCCGGGTGAGGTAGCGCGCACCTGTAGTTCCGGCTACTTGGAAGGCTGAGACAGAAGGATCGCCGGAGCCCTGGGATTACAGGCTGAGCCACCGAGTCCGGCCAGTCTCTCTTTTTTTTTTGAGTTGGAGTCTCACTCTGTCGCCCAGGCTGGAGTGCAGTGGCATGTTCACAGCTACCCCAGTGGGGATCTGTTGGGCTCCAGTGATCTTTCTGCCTCAGTCTTCCAAATAGCTGAAACTACAGGCATGCACTCCCACACCCAGCTAATTTTTGATTTATTGTAGAGACGAGGGCACGCCAAGTTGCCCGGGCTGGTCTCGAACCCGTGGGCTCAGGCAGTCCACTCACCTCGGCCTCCCAAAGTGCTGGGATGACAGGCTGAGCCACCAAGTCCAGCTATATATGTCGCTTTTCAATCATGAAACCCCAGGAAAGGTCTGGTCCATATGCCATATAGGCATATGTAGTCAGCAATCAGGAAGGGAACAGAGGGGGACAGCACAGACAATAATAAGAGATGGAGCTGCAAAGGCAGGTCAGGGTCAGACCAAGGGAAGCCTTGAATGTCCCCTCCTAAGTCTTCCTTCAAGAACTCATTAATTAATACACATTCTGTGTTCCAACAAAGCAGCATCTCGGAAAGGCCTCTAATAGCATTTTTATGCTGAGTGGAAATTACACACGTTCTGCCCCTTGACAGAAACATAAGTCCCACTAAGTCAAGAACAGGTTTTTTGATCGCACTGTTGCACTCCAGCCTAGGTGGCAGAGCAAGGCTGTTTTTTGGGGTTTTTTTTAAAGTTTATCATCACTGAATTCACACAGCTTAACTCAGTGTCTGGCATACAATGAATGTTTGTTAGAAAAAATAGGAAAGAAGGGGCTCTTAGCAATGCAAAAATTTTAAAGATTGACCGGAAAAAGGGTACACAGATTTGGGGAGAAATCACAGCCCCACAAAAGACTCTTCAGCTTAGGTTTAAAAATGGGAGCTTGAGGCTGGGCATGGTGGCTGACGCCTGTAATCCCAGCACTTTGGGAGGCCGAGGCAAGAGGATTGCCTGAGCCCAGGGGTTCGAGACCAGCCTGGGCAACTTGGCGAGACCTCGTCTCTACAATAAATCAAAAAAATTAGCCAGGTGTGGTGGTGCACGCCTGTGGTTCCAGCTACTTGGAAGACTGAAGTGAAAGGGTCTCCTGAGCCCAGCAGGTTGAACCCTTGATGGCCTGAGCTTGCCACTGCGCTCCAGCCTGAGAGACAGAGTGAGACTCCAATTAAAAAAAAAAAAAGATAGTTTGAGATTCAGAAAAACCAATAACCTCCCTAAGGCAATACAAACAGTTTTTCCTTTTTTCCTCCTGGGTTATTTTTTTTCCAATTATTTTATTGTAGTAAAACACACGAAACAAAAAACGTATCATCTTAACCACTTTTGAGCGTATAGTTAAGTGGTATTAACTACATTCATAATGATGCCCAACCATCGCCACCATACATCTCCAGCTCTTCATCTCGTAAAACTGGAACTCTATTCGTCCCCATGAAAGAATAACTCTCCATCCCCTCCCTCTTTCCCTGGCAACATCCCGGGTATGCACCACCTCCATTCACCCAGCCTGGCACTGACCAGCTCGCGGTGGGCTGCACTCGAAGCCCTGGTGACACAGTACATTCACCCTCTAGGCGGGGAAGGGGCGGCTGGAGTAGCAGCGCGGGCCACACCCACTCCCGGAGGAGGGGGGAGTGCGGGTCCCCAGAGCAAGCCGGCGCGGAGATTTCATCAGACTGCACCAACCCCATCGGCCGCTAGGGTCCCGGGGAGGGACGGCTCGCCCGAGGCTGGTCTGGGGGAGCCCTCCCCTGCTCTCCCCAAGACAACTCTCGGCATCACCGCACGGCAGGTCCTGGCCGGTGACCTTCGTGCGCGCCCTCGGCCCGCTGAGCCCTCGCTC